AAACAGACATGCAGACATGAGAAAGACTACGCAAGTCATATATGCGTCATATATGAGACAATCTTCAGTTGACAAGGAGACAACTCCTCTCTTGCACGCACCCTTTCTCGTTCATCCACCCAACCTCACCTGCCTTTGCCTGAGTTAAGATACAAATGGGAGGATGAATACAGTAAAGTTGCATTACATGCTGTATTGCTGACACATGCGCATCTCATTCTCTCTTACTTACACGTCCAGTTTATCCGTCTCTAAAACACCCCCTGTTTCGCTCACATACACATATACACAGTTCTGACTGTTGTCTTCTTCGTGACTGTTTAATTCTTATTCAGCAGGTTATGCTTGTCAGGACCAGTTGAGCTGGCTGCTTTAACACAGCACAGACAATGTGTGGAAAGACAGAGGCTCTATCTTCTGGCCGCCTCTCCTGTCACAACGTGCATATACTGTATATTGTATGTTTGTTGTGTGTGAGTGGTGACTCTGCATTTGTTTTCATGTGTCACTTATGTGAACATATGTCTCTGTGCTGTTTAGAGTGGCCAGACCCTGTTTCTGTTTCTACCTTCAGACCCTTGATTCTTTATCTGCTGCGCATTCCTCCAATCTGGCCCCTAACATGCATTTTACCTTTTCACTGACCCTGAACCTCAATTGTAATACAGTCCCCCATTTCCCATCCCCACCATTCCTCACATACTGTCTAACACATACAAATATAAAGTGAAACACTTCAGGCTGTGTTGGAGTTGGGGTGTAAATAAATGCACTTTTTTTTTTTAAACACTTAAGTGATAAAGGATAAATTCTACCTGATTAAATCCTGTTGTGTGTCTTGATTTAAATCCCTTCAGAATGAGATTGTTGTTATATTACAGTATGTCAGTAATTGAAGAGTTTAATGTTTTTTGGCATGCACCCCTCTTTTAACATCACTATGGTGGCTAATAAGATGAGATAACATGATAACATGAGAAAAAAAAATATTTTGGTGGATTGGATGCAATTTTGTTTAAAGGTAGTTTTCTTATTTTACGGCAAACACATCAAAGTCTGATTAATTCTGACTTTGCTTCAACAACTGAAAACAGTATAAACTTAACTAAAATGACCTGGACTTGATCTTATAGTGTTTGTCCGAGAACGGGAAAAAGATTTATGAGTTTTGAGAAAAAGATGACACATGACATGATGGACCTGTTAGCTTCGTCTGCAACAAGGTGTACTGAACTAATGAAGGCTGGCCAGAAAGTGTGACTGGCTAAGAGATCACACCCAATTAGCCGCACGTGTAGAAGAACAAATGGGTCCTATACTGTATATTGTATGCATTTGTGCATGAGCTTCAAATTTTGCAAATACAATAAAGTCTTTACTGCTAAGATCACAGAGGTGCCCTTAAATCATATTGTATGCCCACTGTTTCAGACTTAATTTTCCCTTTAATGCTGAAAGAAACAAGGTGTTGCAGAGGAATAGTTAATGAAGAGCAAATGCAGCTCGCAGCTAAGGCCTTCAGCCCACATTCATCATGGATTCAATTTCCCCTATGCACGTACAGAGTATCTGGAATCATTACAACACAACTAGCAGGCATCCCCTGCTCATAAATAACCCTGTTAATTGACCTGTCATAGCTAATTGCTGCAGGGGATAGGAGACTGGTATGTGTGTGTGTGTGTGTGTGTTTTTAAAAAAAGAGTTTGTCTTTATGTGCGCATGTGTCTGTATCTAACACAGTGTTTATGCATGTGATTTGGTTTGTGTGTGAAGATAACACAGACAGATAGATACATATAGAAGTAATGTGTGTGTAGGTGAATGTATGAACAGTGGGATGGTTGAAGACTCTCTTTCCTGAGTCTGTTGATTTTAGAGGCAGTAGTCATTAGCCTTGAGACATGAGGGTGTGAAATGGACCAGGGCAAGAATCGACCCAACTGGTCCGTCTGTCCCACCACTGTGCCAGAGAGAAGATGCGCAGAGGGGGAAAAAAAATAAAATCAAGAAAGACTGAAAAACACACAAAGGAAGTTTGACGCATGCAAAACAAAACCGTCATCTTTTTCTGCCCTCTCCCTCTGCTCGGTTGTAAACTTCCTGACACACATGCACACGCACTCACAAATTGACACGCAGAGATCGAGAAAGGCTGGGGAAATGAGTGAGAGAGGAAGCATCATGTCCAGTCAGAAAGGAGGACTGAGTCATCTAGTTTACTCGGCCACATCCCAGCAGGGAAGAGCTAACTGCAAGCGAAGCTGCCAAAGAGCTGATGGGACCTCAATGATGTGTCAACAGACAGTGCTCAAACACAGGAACATAACAGAGGACTGTTATGTCTCCCAGACTATTTCTTCCACTATTGACTGAATGTGTTCGGTAAACTTAAACTTTAAACTTCAGGGGAATGTAGGCAATGGGAAATGATTGTACAGCTCAAACTAGGAAAGGCTATACCCCTTGAGCTTAACTTGAGCTTGGTCAGAATTTTAGATATGAGAAATAGTTCACATCAATTCAAAGTTAGTTTCAACAGAAGAGACATTGGTAGGTAAATGTCCACATAAAAGCAAATCACATATGGCAGGCTGGGAACTGGCCTAGGTGTAAGCCTCAAGTATCCTCTAGTTCAGTGGTTCTCAAACGGCTTAGCTTCATTTTCCTGAATCATTAAGTCACAACCCACATTTTTGAACCAATTTATCTCACGAAAAATAGTGCAGTATTACATAATGCTTTCATGCACTGTTAAAAACATGAAATGAAGGAAACAAAGTGCAACAAAAGTGCAACTAGGGCTAAAAACCCAATAAAATAAAAACGCAGACTTATCTTGAATTAGAGGCGTATCATTTTTGATGACTTCATGCTTTCATGAGGCAGCACTTCGCTGCACACAGCACAGAGAGGTTCTGGTCCCTCTCTTTTGCCCTCAATGAAAGAAACCCAATATTTAATGGAGTCAGTGATGTACTTTCGTTTTGCAATGTTTACATATGCTCAAATGCACAGGCGCACTCCTGATGGAAAAGTCCTTAAAAATAAAAGTGCAACAGCAAAAAGTTGATCAATCATATACATTTATTTATTTATTTATTTTTTACAGTACACTGGGTTCCAACATGCACCAAAACACCAAAGCAAATTCCTCATATGTGAAAACCTACTTGGCAATAACCTTGATTCTGATGTGTGTATTTGGACTATATTCAAAAAAACATTTAGTTCAACCAACCAAAGTAAACAAACCCACACTCCTTAACAACGTCCTATATGCACTGAACCTACTCTTTCTCTGCTGATCCTCATTCTGCCAATAAACTCATAAAGTATTGGTCGATACAGGGACCAATCTGTTTGGTTTTGTTTTTCATTTTTGAACCTGTATACCTCTTTGCGTAAAAACGATTGAGACTGTTGCACTCTGTGATGTTCATATGATGCGGTAACAACACATCATTTCTGAGCTACAAATGTACGTACATACATACATGCATACAACATTCTTTCCAATTATCTTGTCGTGGAAGGTTTTGAAATCTGACTGAGAAACAGTGTAGATTAGTGATATCTGACCACTTCCCAATCTATGTAAAAAAAATCTGGTACTGGCGTTGATACCAATCTGGTGTATCTACTCGGTGCATCACAAAAATACACGTTCTTTATTTATTTTTATCCTGAGGTCATGAGAGTGCGTAGATACACATGTATACGGTTTGGATGTGTGTGAAAGCTTGTTCTCCACCCTGAGATCAGCAAATTCTTGATCAAGCGAGTAATCCTCTGGTTACGGTGTGGATAGGCTTGGTGCTGACATTCAGCAGAAAATGAGCTGAATGTTCACTCAGAGGCTCCTCATTTATCAATAACTCCCCTCAGTGCTAAAAATGCTGGACCAATATTTATTTAATTCAAGAAAAATGCACCCAAGTCTCTCATATAAAAGCTTTGGGTTATATTTATCATAGTTTTCATTGAATCCATTAGTAATACTTTTTGCACAAATTTGTGTTGCTCGGAAAATAATTATGTGATAATATTGATTCCAGTGGTCAAACTCTCATTTTCAGACTGTGGTTAGCTGCGGTGGCCCAGGTGCTGGCAGGGACACTAACAGGGCAGATGCTCACCAACAGAGAGCTCGAGTTCTTCCGCTACTCTTGCCAACTCACTGTTGCTAAAAACTTTGTCTCCAACCACGGGAGAGAAAAGGAACTCTGTGTACGCGTTAACTCTGACATCACTGTATATGAGGTGGCCTTAATTCTGGGAGCTCAAATCTAAATTCACTGATGTTCTCTGGTTCTTCAGAGATTTTAAAAAGCCACTGTAGTGAATTTCCTCTAAAAAATTCATTAGATTCCAAGCAGAGTTTCAATCCCAATTCTTTGTGGAATTCCCTTGATTCCTAACAGCCACCAGAGTATAAAAATGCCCCCTGTTCTATCTAGGCTGCAGCGGAGGCCTTCCTCTTGGGGAAAGACACAGTAGAGAGGAAATGGCAGCAGTAGAGGAAAAAAGGAATACAGTGAACATAAAAGCATATAATTCTTTGGGTTGATTTTTTTCTTCTGTTTTCGTCTTCTTAGAGCAAGCCAAAGCAGACCTGACAGTGGTGTCAGCACATGGTGGAAATTAACCCTCAAGAAGCAAAGTGAGCACTGGAGGCAATTCAGAGGCTGAGTTCTTTTAACATCAAGCATAGCAGTACAGAGCACTCTACAACTACTCCTAACAGTTATGCCACTGCATGCAACACATCTCAGCTGCTTAGAGTAAGGCTGCAGGACCGGGGGGGAGCTTTACTACTTTCTCTAGGAAACACAAGCTCTTCAGTTGTATCCACTTAACTGTTGTTCATTTGTTTTTCTAACAAGACAACCATTCTCTTTAAAGATTATACTGCTGGTTTAAGTGTTTAAGTTGAGCACATTCTTCACTGCTTTTGTAATTGACTGTGTCGGGATGAAAAGAAATCACCAATCTCTTACCTGGAAGGGTCCACTGGGGCTGATGTCGAAGAACGCTTTCTTCCAGTCCGGGCCTTGATGACCGGACTTCGTCCATATCACCGAGTCCACAGAGGCAATGCTTCTTACTCTCAGAAGCACATTGAGAGTGCCTGTGAAAAGTATGAACACATGCATTCCCACAGGCACACACCGGCACACACACACACACACACACACACACACACACACACACACACACACACACACACACACACACACACACACAGATTATCAGAAACTGTCAATGAGCTATGGCAAGATGGGAGCAGAGCTTATCATTACTGAAATCTAAAGGCGAAACGTTTTAAACATAATAACCGACTCATGATTATCTCCACCGACAGTCAGGAAGGAGCACATTGAAAGTGGACAAGCTATTTACTCACAAACACACACACACACTGACACACAGTGAACAATAAATAGACTGTGATCTGATTGTGTCTAATCAATTGAGATGCCCCAGTCCTTACTGCAATTAGTGAAAAAATTATAATGTGTATCTACCCGTTTACTAACCACAGTAAGATATGTGACCACCTAATGATAGCTCCGCTGTATGTTCAGACGTTGTAATTAATTGTTTAGAGTCGCAAAGGAGACCGAAGATAATTGATTGTAACCATCACCTTTATCCCAGTGAAACCGCTACATGTTTTAAAGACCAGCAGCAATTTACAAGTAGCACGCTCCACTCTGACAGTCACTGGCATCAAGTCACCCAGCATCACCAAGTATCTAGCTGCTACCTAGCTGTCAATATTAAATACTATATAGAGAGGATTTTGTCTAAAAATCCGTGGGATCAAACTCTAAGAGAGAGGGCACACTGCTGGATCATTGTGTGAGCACCACATACTTCAAATTACCTTCATTTCTAAAGGCAAAAACATGGCTGTGTCATGGGCTCACCTCATTTATATAGGAAGTAAAAACAAATGCAGTATATACCGTGCATACGAGGGTGAAGCTCTAAGGTCAGATGCTGTATGTGGGTGACATTTGGGTGTGGATTAAATGTGTGAAGCCCCTTGGATGAGCAGTGATATGACACAGCTATGGAACAAAAGGACAGCAGCGAGGAAGAAGGAGGGGAGACAGTCACGCAGAAATAACAGTGGAAGGTAGCTAGAGAGGAAAGATTTTTTAATGAACTGACCTTTGATAATTAACTGATTTTTTTTTCTAACACACAGGGTTCGCTCACTTCCACATAATGTTTGGTTTAAATTTTAGCTACTGTGGAAACATAAAAATCAGTTGTCCGGGACACTGAAAAACAAGCTGGAGAATGACACCATTTGGGCCATGGTGATGTGATCCAAATAGTCTCTCTGTCTCTCTCTCGGGTCTCTAAGTTGTGAGAGAATCATTCATCTTCTTAATGATCCCCAGCCAGCTCCTAATTGGAACATTAACCAACCACCAGTCTCTTAAACAAATATGCAGGCAGGGGTCATGGTATCTCTGTGTTATACGAATACTACATATACTGTGTGCATGTGTGTGTGTGTGTGGCTGCAGTATGAGTTTGCCTGTAGATTTATGCTTGTGCATGGGCACAAATGTTTATCATTCTGCTGCGTGCATGTGTATCTTTGATTGAGGTAATGTTAGTCAAACCTTGAAGTAGCAGCCTGGCAGTAATTAACTTCCTACTCTGTCAAATGAGAAGTGTGACCAAGGCAAATGTAGTGGATGTGGGGGAAAACAGGAGAAGTTAGGTGGGTTGTTTTTAATTTGCATGTTTATGAGTCACAGAGAGAAGCAATGGAAAGCAAACTGTCAATCCAGTCATCACTCTGAACTCTAATGATAAACACAACGTTCAATTAGCTTGGGGCAATCTAGGAATTCTCAAATACAATTTCTTACATTCCCAGTTTGTCATATATGTGAATCATTGGTTTAATCAAACATGACAGAAGCTAAACGTATCAATTCATAGATGTGCTGAGACTTGAAGTTGTCAGATCTGTCAAAATGGATGGATATCTAGCTACTCTTAATTGGGGTGCGTATGAAATCTTAGAGGAATCTTTCTTGCTGGGTGTTAGATAAGAAGATTGTTCAATATGAAGCTGAAGCCAACAGCCAGTTAGCTTAGCATAAGGACTGGAGGCAGTCATGTCTACGGTGGTCCTGAGAGGTCAACATGATGCAGCTTAAGAAAACACATACAAATAGATAAAACACAAGCAAGTAAAGAAAACATATTTACTATCATATATTTATTTGAATTAGTAGGCAAGTAAGCAGTAAAAAGCTAATGCTGGATTAATCACAAATTTCTTCAGGTCTTTCTGCCTGTTGCCTATCTGAACATGGAATCGCAATAATGAAACACCAAGAAAATTCAGCACCGCATTTGAGAGTGGTACTGACCTTCTCATCTAATTCTCAGCAAGAAAGCAAATAAGCACATTTACCCAAAACGTCAAGCTATTGCTTCCACAGCAGGGCTATTTTGCATTGTTACCTACAGTTTGGATCATGTTCCACGCAGAAACAGCAGGGTGTTCATTGTAAAAAAATGATGTACAGGTATTATAACTGTAAAAGCCACATAAGAGAGTCACATGAAACTATTCAACATATTAAATTTGAAAGGACATGGGTGGCACTGTTATATAATGGAAAGAAACACCGGCTAATTCTGGTGTTGCCAACTTTCACCTGCTGAGCCCACTCTCTCATTCTACCTCCACATATCTGACCCTCATTGTCTCATTCCTCACTCACCACCCATTCTCTCTCTCCTCCTCCTCTCTCTGTTGCAACCTCCCCATCAGCACACACCCACCCACCCACTCACCCCCACACACACACACACACACACACACACACACACACACACACCCCCGACAGAGGGGAGAGGAAAGAGGACTCTGATAAGCAGTCTATTGATTGGACTGAGGTAAAGCAGAGTGTGTTGGTAAGAGTGTCAGAGAGGCAGAGGAGAAGGCACAGCTCTATCAGGGCTACTTGTCTGCAGAATCATGAGTGGGGGAGACAGCAGAGGTACACAGCCACACACAGAGACAGTGACACACACACACACACACACACACACACACACACACACACACACACACAGCTATATTTCTATATTTGAACTTAAATGAATTAGACTGTTTCTCTTTTGATAATTGGTTCTCCCCCTCCGCCTGTCCCTCATCTCTGTCTAAATAGGGTTCATGTCCTATGTGTGTCTGTGCTGCTGGTTAGCCTCGGAGTCAAAGCTGTGCTAAACTGTGTTGCTTCTGCAACCAAACAATAAGCCGAAGCATGTTATTCAAAGTTCTGAGTATACAACCATTTCTGGAGCATGAGAAGAGGAACAAATTTAGGTGGAGATAAATAATTTCTTAATCAAGCCTTGCTAGGAAACAAGCTGATCATAATGTTTTCTTCAAAATGAGAATCTAAATCTAAAACACTGGAGGTACACAGTGAAATAAAAAGTATAAATTATTAAAAACGAAAGAACACTAACACTTGCTATTTGGTTTAAAATAGCATAATGTAATATGTCAGATGTTTATAACACAGCTTACACAGCCACCATACTTCTGCCACACAGACTTGCAAACATTTATAAAGAGACCTTATTTAAAGTCTTACTTTTAATAAAAGTGTTATCCAAAACAACACACAAGGAGTACAACATTTAAATAACCTCAAACTCTTCCATCACTCTGAAGAGAAAAAAAAAAACAATGATTCCAAGTAAGCTTGCCAGTGGCACTCTGCAAACCTGAGCCAGTCTAAAATACTACCCAGTGCCAAACAAAGCTAATTAAATGTTGTTTATTGTTGCTGCCAGCTAGCCCAAAGAGAAACACATTAAGGTGAACAAAATCAGGGAGGTCTTTATTTGCAGCGCTGGCCTATTACAAGCCCAAAATCCAAACTAGTCAAAGAGCATTATGCTTTCTTTCCTTAGTCTGCAAAATCCTAAAAAGATACTTTTCCCTGTTTTATATCAGGATTACAAAACAGCTCACAAGCAGTATATGTGGGTCAGAGAAGGGTAATATCTCAGCAGTGTTTCTAAAAATTGCATTGTGTCAAAGTGCTTAAATGTTTTCAACATATACAACCCTTTTAACACTTTACAGCACTTAAACACTATACAGTCGAGGACATTAACACTAGTGAAGTTTGACTAAAACAGTACTTCAGCAGAAAGCCCAGGCTCTTGCGTCCTCTCAATAGCTCTGAACATTACCAGGTTGATGGACTCTCCTGCAACTCTCTGCTCCATCTTTTTTTTTTCTTTTTCCCTCACTTCTATGTCTCCTCATACTTGTTTGCTCAATCCTTTGTCTCAGTCCTTCTATTTTTCCTACCATCCTCTTTGCTCTCACGCTCTTCATTTACCCCTCTCTTCTTTCCTCCAAGGCTGGCCGACCCTCATACTCCCCCGTCTCTCCTTGTCTTATCTTGCCTCTCACTGACCCCCTCTGTCTTTTCCTCATTTGTTCTCTTTTTGTCATTAAGAGTCAAACTGTGTCTCCCTGGCAGGAGCGTGAGCTTCGCCAAGGTAAGGCAATTAAAGCGACAACAGATTGGAAGACACTGTCAGAACTACAGCGTAAATTGACGGAAGGCTTGTAGTAGAGCTGGGCGTAACTGGTAACAGATTGTACTAATCGTAAGCAAACGCTGTGTGACTGATGTGGCATTGTCTTGTCTAATTGCTTTGCTGTGAAGCACCTAGAAGACCTTTGAGCAAACCGCACAACACACATGCTCAAGTAAGCGCTGTAGTATCCATCGCAGATTACTCATGAAGTGCTTTTGTAATATGTAATATAAATGTAATAAATATGTGCAGAAATATATTGTAAAAGATGACAGAGAATAGTAAGAAGAAACAACAGCAATAAACTCACTACAATATATCATAAGTCAAATAAGCATACATTTAACATTTAAAGTAACTAGATGTTTTTTCTGTTTTTTTTTTTTTTTGTTAGATTTTTTTAAAAGAAAATGAATATTCTTCTTATTGAAGGGTACAATAAGCAGCACTGTGACAAAAAACTCATAACAAACTAGCCCAGATAAAGTACTGGCTCACAGCCGTTTACGGCTAGGGTGTTAGCTAACAACTGCCTACTTATACATTCAGGAGTTACAGAGCAAGTCTGATATTCTCTCGAAATAAAATACTTCTGTCCACCACCTCTTGAGTAGCAGCTAGGTGCCTGGGTTTTAAAGCAACTAGGTGTTTTTCTGTTATTTTGTGTGGGGAAGGCAGTGTCTCGATGCCTAGCTTGTTTTCCTAAGAACTGGGAACTCACAGCTGTATACGGTGGACTGGTGAGAGCCACAGGTGACAGAGTTAGGTGTTGATTCTCAAAGGATTTAGCGCCACTGCCATCCCATTCATCATTACACAATCATTTTTTTCATTGTCAACTATAAAAATTAGAGAATAGATAGAGAACATTTATTCAGCATACTTTGGCTTTATCTATCTATGTTGTATTTCCAGTTATTAAATGAAAGAAGATAATTTTTGCATACGGTTCTATGCGATAAAATGGGCTGAACCTTCACATGAACAAATCTGTCCAAGCGCATAGGCTCACTAAATAATGTCACTGCCTGGCTGCAGGTGAGATGGTTATGTTTGACTTTTTGTATTTGATTTATTACAGAATATAGATGAGGCACATCACTCTCTAATCTGCTGCAATCAACTGAGGGGAGGCTGTAAAGGTAGCGGAATAAGTGAGAAAAGCAAACTTGTAGTGATTGAGTGACTCTATATTAAAACCTCCTGATGTCTTGCTCTCACTTATACAGTTGCTGCACAGAATAGTTAAATAATTGGTACACCCACATGTGCAGACAAATATTGTGCCCCTCTATACCATCAGAGTGAAGCCTGTATGTTTGGGCTATGTGCACATAAATCAGTGTGTCTATGTGTGTGTATGTATATGTGTTGAAAGCTTTACCATATGTATTTTTGAGGGAATTCGTGCCTGTGTGTACGTGTGTGTGTGCGCGCGCGCGTGTGTGTGCAGGTGTGTAGGCTACAAGATGTATGCATTCTTGCTGTGTGACAGAGCATATTATGATGAACAGCTCCCCCAAATGACTGATTGTGTCTTGCCACTGCCATAAATCAAACACCCACTGCCCCCTTCATCCACCTCCAAACACATACACACACACACACACACACACATACACACACACACACACACACACTCAGGCAGAAACATACAAACAGAACTTTGGTCACAACCCCTAACCCCTCCCTTCTCTCTCTCTCTGTCTCTCTCTCTCACACACTCACACACACACACACCTACACACACACCTACGATGTTGTGTCTGACAAGCTCTACAAGCGAGGGTCAAGCACAGAGTTCAGATTTTGACAGAAGCCCAGTGATATGATAGTGTTATGCGTCAGCATATTCTCCAGTGTATATCCATGTGTGCCATTGTGTTTCTGTGGATGATTTCATGCGGTAGAAAATAATATGTATGTTTGTGTTCATGAGCATTATTCTGCTCTCTATTACTCACCGATGTGTTTGCCCTTCATGTGGTAGTAGAAGGAGACACAGTATGGTACTCTGCCGGAGCCCTTGGGGCCTCTGACTGAGGTCCCATTAAAAAGCGGAGACAGCAGACGAGCCTTGTCTCCCTGAACGCGTGGTCGCGATGCTTCAATGTACATGTAGTAACCTGAAACCAACAAAACAGCACTCAATTGTCCAGGGTCTTGAATGCAACAGAAAATTACATTTTTATTAATTATCAATATGAGTGAAATTTGATTTTCATTTACGTCTGTTTTCCTAAATCTCTAACTATTCACATTGTACAATATACAGATCTGTCTCTGCTGCTACACATAAAATGGTTCCTCACCCTCCCTAGTTCCACTGCGGTCAGTCTCAGGGCCTGTGTTGGGAGATCGCTTCGGATTCTGCGTCAGGTGATTCTGTCTCGTCCAGTCAAAGATGTCACTCCGATCTTGAGAGAAACCACAGATCCGTTCATCCTCAAAACCACACACATGGTCTGGGATGTGTGTATATGGAGGAAGAAAAAACAAGAGAGAAACACATTCAGTGACATGACAGGCAGGTAACAAACTACAGGTGACACCAACCTAATGTTTTTAGTTTTTTTTTCCTACCCAATTTTCCCAGGAAAATTAATGGCACAATGTACAGCAGCTGTATAGTAACCTCTGCCGCACACTTCAAATGTGAAGATCAGACAGCCAGGCAATTACTGACAAAATGATAGGGACACTGTAGGAGGCAGGGTATATAACATGAAACTTAACGTGGATTCCACATATTATGCATATTCTGATGCATAACTCCTACGTTATTTTAGAGGCAACTATAATTGAGCAGGGATATTTCAAATGTAGAAAAATTGAAAAATAACATTAAAAAAAAACATTGTCAAATAGCTCTCCTGCTTGAAGACAGATTTCTGACAAAACAAGGTATGCAGGCTGATAATAGAGAAAAAGAGCAGTACAACAATAGTGAGCAGAACATTTGACCTACTGTTTTACACTATAGGTTGTTGGTGATTTAAATGAAACATCTGTTAAATCGTCAATTTGAAAAACGCCAAGTATCCATCAATGCAACAATCAATGAACAAATGATGTGGCACAATAAGTGGCAGTGGCCACTTGATACTGCATGGGTTAAGAGCTTCTTGATAATTTTCAAGCAGTAACAAAAATGCGACTACTACTAACTAATATTAGCATTTCAAAAGCAAGGTCGAACAGACCAAGTCTAACAATGTCAATGTATGGATCGTTGTGGAAAACATTTTTCCTCATTTATCTTGGAAGGTGTGAACCTCTTCCGACTGCGAGCATAGAGGCTCATTTGTACAGTATGGGGGTGGGGGTGGGGGTGGGAGTGTGTGTGCATGTTGTTAATGCGATGAATTTAGATGCACAGCTCTACCTTTTCCCATCTGACTGATTCAAGTGACTGTTTCTTAATTGAAAGATGCATAATTCCTACAGCAAATTTTGGGGGAAGCTCAGATGTGTCTTCACTTGACCAATAAACTGTTATTCGTATGTTTTAGAGTCACATTTTGCCTTTTTAATATTGCTTCATATGGCATAAAGGACATACACATTTTGAGAACAGCTCTTAGTTCTTTCTTTGTCTTGTGAGTGAATTGTCATTATCCTTGATGCTGACGTTTCTTGTTAAGACATGCAGAGGGTCATCTCTCTATGGTGTTGTCACCTTCATTAGTCCATCTGGAGGGGTCTGCTGGTATTATCACAGACTCACTAAAGAAATGAAAATTGAAGCAAACCAGTGTAACAGCTATCTAAAGCCATCCAAGCTGACAGATTCCGTGAAAGCTTCCCTGGACACACACACAGTCCGCGGCAGATGCATATGGCTCACGCTCCCCATGAGAATGGCTCGTGTGTGCTTCTTTGTTTCAGGGCAGCTAATCTATTACTATTCACACCCTGCTCCACTACATGCGCTCCTTTCAATTTGTACTGTTGTTCTCGCAGTCTGTTCCAATCTGCTGTTGTTTTAATTGCCTCACCCTGGCGGAGCCAACTGCCACTCCTGCCAGAAAAATGCTGCGTGTCTCTTAATGAGGAAAATAGACAAGATGCAATTGACTGAGAAAGAGAGAGGGATGGCAAAAGAGAGAGGATGAGAGGCAAGGCGAGAGCAGGAGTTGGTGCAAGGGGGTGAGACGGAGAGAGAGATGTGTCTGACAGAAAGGAAAAGGAGATAGAAATTTAAGGTGAGATGTAACATGTATGTATGTAAAATAATGCAGCTTCATTAAGTGAGTTTCAAGCTAATAGCCCATATAAGGTATTTTCAGTGCCTTTCACTAATCACATCGCCATAACCATATCCTCCAATCACGACCACTCTTTCATGACATTTAAAATGTCATGGATCTGCTTCCAGCGATCGGTTGCTTCCTCACATCCTACTGTTACCCCACTCTCCTCCCTAGCAACAAGATTTAATAAAGGCCAAGGCTGGGCCGTGGCAAACTTTGCCTTGACAAACTTGTGCTGACATCGCTTGCAGCATACAAGCTAAATTAGCTTTCATCAAAATTCAACGTGCCTTCCTAACTTCACCACCCTGTCATCAATCAGGTCACAACAACAAGCTGAAGATTGTGAAATGTGGAAGAGCAGAGGTAATTAAGTCTCACCTGAAGGCCTTGGGTAGGTGTAGGCTGTAAGAAAAATTATAATAATATTGATTACCACTCAGAGATATGCACCATCCACCAGTTTATCTCGATTTGTGAATAGTTCTTAAATGTATGAAATATAATGACTTGATATAGACAAAAGATGCTTGATAAAAAATGGTTTTAAATGTGCCTTACGTTCTGAGTACTGGATGATGCGAGTGACATATTCCCCAGTGCTGTAGGTGGTGATGGGGGCCAGTTGGACCTCGTAGGACAGAGGGATTCTCAGGTCTGATATGGTGTGAGATATCAGCACACCCTTCTCTGGCTCCTTACCCTTTAGGTTTATTAGCTTCGACAGCAGGTTCTGCTTGTTCTAGATTGGTACAGGTAAAAAAAACACACACACACACACACACATATACACACAAGATGCAGACATGTTAACATGTGTACACACAAATATGTTCAAGGATGATTTTTACCAATCAGAAGTCATCCAAGTGATGGGAAACTCCCATCACTTCCCTGTAACAACTCAAAACTTCAGCTCTTGACCCATCTGGAGGGTTTTCCCTGCAACATCCAGAGTTCCTACAGCATAACACGTCCAAACAGGCAAACAAAGTCAAACTCATGCTCATATTCTTCCTAGAAAAAAATGGTTTGCTCAAATGTGATTAAAGCATGTGATCAATGTTCCACAGGCATTTGCTTTGTGTTGTAGTAAGTAATAATCATTTATCTACACACCGTGTCATCATGTTATTTTACTTTTCCATATCTGTGCATGTTTCCTCACATTTCCATTTATGGTCAATGAAATTAGGTGTGGGCATACAGCCAGTTCTGGGCCTGTAGCCAACCAATACAGCTCAGGAATTGGATTGTATATGTACATACTATTGAAGTTTTTAATCTCTCATCTTTTATCCAAAACAAAGTAAACCAGCTGTCAAAAGAATAGTTTGCTAAAATGTTTTCTCGCTAAATGCTTTGAAGGCAGGAGAGGCTATGTTAGTCTTAGTGTCTCAGTGGTCTCCTGCACCAAGATTTACCATCAAAATATGAAATAAACTGGGTTGGTTATGAATTATTTGAGTGAATATTCAAATAGAAAATGGTTATACTGTTAATCCAGTCCAATTCTTTTCTTCTTATTTTTCAAAGTTAACTTAGGTGTTTTTTTCTTTTCTGTTCTTTTCTTTCTTTCTTTTTTTTTTGTTAGGAACACTTTTAATAGAGCCATTGCCGTGTTATTCCACCCACGGAGAGAAGGATCCATTAGCTGTGTATCTGCCTCTGATCCCAGCTACTTAAAGACCTGACAGTGAGCTCAATCTAATGCATTAGGTCAGCCACTCCACCGTAACACCTTAGTACACCCACAGCATGCCATTATCAGTTTATGCATGCAGCAGAGGTGTGTGTACTGTGTATATTGTGTGTGATGTACAGTATGTGTTTATATGTATGCACACACTTGTGTGTGTGTATCATAAATGTCTATATCACAGAGCCTTTGCATAGTGAGCAATCAGTGTATGACAGGCACATAATATCCACACAGACTCCCCATTATAGAACGGTTTAAATGATCTACTGTATATGGCTTTGTTTGTTTCATTTATTTATTTATTTATTAGACTGAAAATACTTACTAGTTTTAGTCACGCCACATTTCTGACTACAAAAGATTTTTTAAAAAGTAAATACTGGCCACAAAAGAGGCAACACAAAAAATGTATCCTTAACAAGATACAACAAAAAAAAAAACGCCGCTTGCTCTTCCACCTCTACCCAGCTCCTCCAGTCCAAAGAGTAACAGTTTGGTTAGGCATAGAGGCACTGATGCATCCCATAACATCGCTTATAATTGCTACAGTACTGTATGCTCATGATATTGCCACACTGAAATCCGCTTTTCCTCCTGTCCTCTGACACTCAAGTTGAGGTGTGCTATTCCCATTGGATGTCTACTCACTACCACATATTCAAACTCAGCTAGACTGAGCTGATCATTTCTATTGACAAGACCACGGTGACTCCTGCCGAGGCTGCCAAGAATTTGGTATGACTCCAATTATTGCGCGAGTCCCACATGGCAGCCACAGCCCGATCCCTGCAAGTTTGTGCTCAGCAACATACTTGGTATCAAATCATTCCTTCCCCACAGGGCGCTATGCCACTAATGGCTGTTAAAGCTTCTTTCTCAGTGCCAGTCTGGCTGTTTCCATTTCAGATGCTCTAACTTTTCACCTTCTCTTGCCAGTCATGGAACATCCAACCTTGTGCAGCAGGTATCTCTCAAAGCAGACTAAATAATCTGTTTCTAAACATAAACCACTCTTTCCCCCGCTGAATAATGTCCTCTCCTCTAATTCACCTTCCCTCAAACTTTTCTTCTACAACGATGCTGTGAGCACAAAAAATAATATAGGGCGTTGAGGGGCCTTTGAACACTGAACTCCTGTTTGCTTATATTGTAGTTGGAGCAATCTAGAAATTAAAGAAAGGTTGATCTTCCATTACACTCAATTAAAACTGTCATTAGCAGTGTGCCTACATGACTGGAAAGAATTCAGAAATGGGAGATTTAAAAAAAAAAAAAGAAAAGAAGAAAAGTCACAGGTTTCGATTTCTCAACCACTAATGTGTCTTGTCGAAGTTTTCCACCGACTTGTTCAAGGTCCTGATAGAATTATCAGGTAAATGTGTGGTATTTGCATAAATCTTCTGAACAAATAACAGTTTGGTTGGAATGACAATGCCAGATCATTATGAATATGTTTTGTATGTCTGTGATTGAGATGAGGAAATAATTAAAAAAAAAAAAAATCGAAAGTGAAATGTATGCTTTCTCTACATTTCTAATGCCTCTATTACTGTAAATATGATGACTGTCATGAAAACTGATATATTCAGTGGTAAAAGAAGTATTTATGCTTTTCTAAAAATATTCCATTACGAGTAAAAGTCTTGCGTTGAAAATCTATAAAACTAGAGTTTCTTTAGCAAGATTAGATTAGATTAGAGTAGTCAATCTGCAGCAAAATGTTTGAAAAAACAATTCCAAATATCATTTGAAATATATGGAGAAAGCATTAAAAAACGGTGAGATCATGAGCCAACAGCCACAAAATTCCTTCACCTAAGTCAAACTCACAGCACATACATAAAACATATACTTACTGTACATTGGCTTTTTTTAAAATTGTGATTTTAGTAGTACACTGTAATGTGGCATTGATGGGGGCAGGGGATGGAACTAGTTCATTTTTGGGAATGTGAACTTTCAAACTTCAAAATTGTGAAGCATGAATGTGAACTAGTTCATTTTAATCTGTGTGAACTGAACTTTGAGCTCTTGCGAGGTGTGAACTTGCACAACCCTGTCAATGTGTGGTAGCATTTTACTGTTGGGTGCTGCTGGGTGATGTGAAGCTAGTTTTTACTACTTTATACACATTTAGGTAGTTTTGTCCATGGTTACCAAACTAGAGGTTGGGCCTCTCCCAGGCTCTCACAGGCAACTCTGGGCTGATAAGAAGAAATAAGAGGAAACAAAAATCTATTCTTACTATTTTTGGATAGTTTGGATAGTTTTTGTAATATATTAAGGAATTTTATCTGTTTGGATTCTCAAAAACTTATTTAAATGAAACCATATGAGAAGTTAGAGGGGAAATGTCTCTTTGGTGGAACTGTGAACAATTCATAAACATCTCAAATGTGGAAAAGGGCCACAACCAGACACTGATTTGTGTAGGCCACAAGCCAAAATCTTGTATTTATCTTGTATTCATACAGTAATTATATCTGTCAAATTTAGTAGACATGAGAATGAGTACTATACAGTACTGTAAAGTACAAGTAATTCAAAGTTTTACAAAATAAATCTAAATAGCCAGTTTCCCATCACTGGGTATATCACATCACTCCAGCTGGAATCAACCTTGGATCAACCATATAATGAAAAAGTGGTGGCGTTGTTGGATGAATACTATCACTGCCAGTAATTTTATTTTAGCTTTTAGCTTTTTTTATTATTATTGTTGACAAATCAGCTGCAGTGTGTGTGGAAAGATCTGTGAAGCTGCCACCACAACTAGCTACATATAGAAACATACATTATCATACAGTGAATGATATTTTTACATGGCAGCAGTTACATAGTAAAATGTATTGTGCCCTTTTAACACCCACTTACACTCACATTCATCCATATAAACATTTACACACTGCTCATACAGCACATGCATAATTATGTGGAATATTTCAGGAAAGAAAAGCTATGCTCATGTAATATGCATCAAGTGTGTGTTAGCAGGGAGAGACGAGTTAATAATGCTGAGGAGTCGGAGCTTTAGAAGTACGTGTAATGTGCTTTCTTCATGAGTGGACAAGGTCTGTGCACGTACACATACGTGCACAGACACTTGTTTGGTCTGTCTTAAAAGTGTGTGGGAGGTAGACGACAGAAAGAAAATGAACTAGACTAAAAGCATGCACATACAAACACACACACATGCATACACTCCATGGAGCTGGAAACACACAGCGGATCAATGAGGTGCTGAGGTGTGACTCAGAGGAATTCAGCTGCTCCTACTGCAGGTTAAAGTCTCTGCCTCCCTGCCTCTGTCTCTGTCTGCTTCCCTTACCAGGTCAGTGGACATAATATATGTGTATGCATGTGTGTGTGTGTGTGTGTGTGTGTATCTTGGTGATAGGGAAAGGGACAGGGGGAGAGTGAGAAAGATATACAGCACATAGAGAGAGGACCAACAGCAGGAGACAGTAGTGAGCAGTGACAGGAGTGAGTGAGTGACATATTTAAAAAGGGAGAGAGGTGGTTGGTTGATAGACTGATATGGAGGTCCATCTACCTCTCTTTGACGTGTGTGTGTGTGTGTGTGTGTGTGTATGTGTGTGTGTGTGTGTGTGTGTGTGTGTGTGTGTGTGTATATCTGCACACCCATGTGTGTCTGTGCCACACAGATACTTTTAGAAATTTCAGCCAGACAGTGTTTTCAGCTGTGTCTCCACCAGACTTGTCAACAAAGGGACAACAAGACAAAGAATGTGTGAAAGAGGGTGAGAGCGAGGTGGCAGCCGTGAGATAGAGACACAGACACAGGGTGGCTTGTGTGTGAGAGAAATTCAGATTGACAGCATGAAAGGGGATGGCCTTCTTCAAACAATAAGGAGTGTGAGGTTAATTTTTTCTATTATCCTCCATTAATGGATCTCTTTGATGACTGACCCAGCAGTCCACTGATGTCAGGTGTGTGTACATGAACAGGTCATCATCTGTGCATGTGTGCAGTGTCTCTGTACGTATCAGTGTCAATGCCTCAATGCTAGTGCATGAATATTTGAGTATATCTGCATAGTGGGGCTGGCTATGTCCATAAATTATTCATTTATTTGATTTAATGTACAACTCTAATTTATCATGAATATTTTTAATTTCTCATATATATGATAATGGGGATGTGTGTTTGCACGGGTGCGTTTGCGTGAATGTGCGTGACTGTGAACCTGGGTGTAGCTTTCATATGAAGCCGGGTCGACCGGCAGCGACACAACTTCAGTGATACACAACACATAACTTCACAGCTGCAGGCAGACGGCTGGTCGATACAGAGATGAGGTGGAAAGACATCGAGATGGGAGGATGAAGGTGTGAGGAGGGAGGGGGGAAAAAAGAAACAAGGAAGGTAAAATAAGGACGGAGAATGCAAATGTTTGGGATTAAAAGAGATACAAAGGTATGTAAATAAAAAATTAAAAAAAAAAAGCTGTGATAAGCTGTGAAAACAGGTTATAACAACCCATAGTAATGTTTTATTGTTAGGTGACCTCTAGCAGCTGGAGTAATTCTGATGGTACAAAGGAGGAAGTCAGGTGACGTAGCATAAAGAGCAATGAATTCCACGTCAGGAGGAGGCTGGGTTTGATGGACATGGGAGAACGTTGTTTGTTTCCCATTTCAAACTGATCAACATTGTTTCTTTTACCCATGACCATTCCACAACCTTAACTGCATGTTTATTGTTGTAGCCATGACAACAAAGACCCTCTATCTTTAACAAAGTAGTTATTCCAGCCTAAACCATGATCTTTCCCTAAACCCAACCACAATGATTTCTGTCACTGTGGGGTCACTAAGTCAGGAGACGCTCCTATTGGTCGTGTAAGGGCGTAGAGACAAAATGGCTTATATGGTTGTTTAGGTTGGAAGACTTGTTGAAATTTCTATAAAATTAGGTTACTTAAATTTCCTCTTCCCTGAATTGCAACCATCATTAATAAATGTGAACAAATCTGCAGGAGAGAAAATCTGTAAATTTGAATCAAGAATGACATTTCTCATGATCCTCCCTTAAATGCATATGTATGAGAAAGGAGCACTGCATTAATAAATGAAGTGCGACTGATGACAGAAAACTTGAGCTTCCTTAAATGAAGGAAAGTGTGAAATTAGCCACAAACGGCTTCATAAGTCTGTCTCTTGCAAAAATTAGCACATTATAATTATCTCTCACAAATCAAAGTACTCATTTAAGAAAACATAGGGGTTGAGGTTGTGGTGTGAGGAAAAGGTGTGTACGGACAGTTTAGTGAAGCAAGGAGGGCCTGTGAACTCTGTTAACTCCGACACAGAGAAACCCCCTGCAGGGAGAGCGAAAACTAAATTAATAAGTGTAAACAGGGACTTCACAGCCTGGCAATGAGTCACGAAGCAAACGATGTTGCCTGCCACACGCACGCACGCACACAAACACACACACACACACACACACACATGCACATACACACACACACACACACAAACTCACACACACACACAGGAATGGGCATACACTATACATGCAGGTAAAAAGAAATGAATTCATATATAGATACATAGCACAAATTTCTATAAATATACACAAAACCAAATAGAAACACACCCACTTACACAACAACATAACGCGAACATTAAAGCACATGGGCACATTGAATGCAAAAAGTTAAAAGCATGTGCTCAGACCCGCAGTAAAGAGCACGGCTCTACATGAACTGATCTGAGTCCTCTTGTATCCCCCTCTGTGTCTGCATGTCTCCCTCGAGACCCTCACATCATTCTGAATGTGCTAAAAAGATAGAGTGTCAAGGTGTTAAGAGGATGAGCTGGAGAAAGTGTTGCAGAAATAGATGGGTTGTGAAATTGAGATGGTATTACATTTGAATGTTCTCGTACTCTATTTAATAGTCGAGAGGACCAGTGAGATTTGCTGTTTTTCTTTAATTTGCATCTTATTTCTCCCTTTCGCACATTTTCATTCACTTCCATGCTGACGCTCACGCTCTCCTTTCTTTCTTCTTTTTTTTTTTTCTTTCTCTTTCTGGTCGCTCTCTAATGCACACATAAAAACTTGGAGGTAAAAACCTTGAAATTAAATTAAAGTTTAACAACATTTAAGAAGTCATAACCTGCCACTTAATGCAACCCATTATTTTAACACTGTCAGCATAACAATTTGCAGCAACTATTTATCAGCGCTATTTCAGTTGCCACGGCTCACTCAACATTAAATGCCATTAAGTCAGCGGTTATAACAGAGTACCCCGGGAGGAATGGAAAGATAGAGAGAGAGGGAGAGAGAAAGAGAGAAGCAAAAGTGGAAACAAGGGGCAGACTGAGGGATGAGAAAGAAAGAAGAGGAAGAAATGGGAAGAGACTGGGAAAAAAATACTGGGAGTGAGATGAGGATACCAGCAGAAAGACAGAGGACAAAGGGAGAGTGAACAAGCGAGAAGTAGAGTGAGAGTTTTCAGAGAGCTTAAGCATGCAACCTAATGTGCATCTTAGGAAGGCCAGTGTTCATTTTGCATCTCCCTGAAGAGTCTTACTTAATAAGGTAAGCAGCCAAGTCCTAAAGTAGGAGGGGAATTAGCTATTCATCCGCACAAAAGCAAGCTGGCAGACCCTGCATTCCCTCTCTTTGAGTGTCTCTCTCACTCACTCACTCTCACACACACACACTCACACACACACACACACACACACACACACACACACACATACACGAACGCCAACCCCCAGCCAGATGTGTATAATTCACTGTTATCCTTCCTGTCTTCTGACTCAAGACCAGTAATCTGTGAATAGATGTTTAAAAAAGAAACAAGAAGATGGGATCCGAGACAGTTAGAAGGGGTTTGGTTGGGGTCAGCGGTAAAGCCTGAAATTTAAAAGGTATAAAAATCAGTCATGATGTTGTTCATTACTGATTAGTCTTAGCATTAGTCTGTAGGTTTATTGGCACACTATTATAATGTAATGGTAATGTAACTGTAATGGAACAGCTGTGTGTAGATGTATGTGTATGTATTATGTGTCACTTAAATATCATATTTGTATAATATCATATTTACATATAATAAAATATGATGCATGTATACATTAGCATACATAAAATAAATTAAAATAAGTGTATATTATCTCCTGAAATCTCCATTTTTATTTTGTAGTCTGGCTTAATAACTACTTAAAGGCAACATAAGAGTTGAGGTTTATGAGGTTATTCCAGTACATGTTTATTCTAAATTCAAGTTTGTGACTAATTTAACACCCTCAGAGTTGTGAAAATGAAGTCACATCAATGCAAAGCAAAAGTCATTTAAGGACAAGCTAAAACATGAAAATACCATGTATTCTCTTAACTGCCTCTGGATTTAATTCTGGCTAAAATGACCTTGGTATCGAAAGCCTGGTTTTGTGATGTTGTTGTTATAAGAGCAGGAGTAAACACATTGTTATCTGTCTCCAAGCTAAAATCCTTCAGTGACAGTAATTTAACTGTATGTGGGAAGTATAAAAAGATGGTCACGCCTTCTAACTTTAGTTCTGTGAACACAGGCGTAGCCCTCTAATGGGGCGTTTTTGAGCTGTCCACACATCTTCACATCTCTGCAGAGTGGAAAGTTGAAAATAAGGCCTGTGTTTGATAGGACTGAGTTATGTGACCTGACAAATGAAGGAGACAAGACAGCTATTCTTGAGAATGAGCAAGAAGAGAAACAACAATATAAGATATGAAAAGGAGGGAAAACCGAAAAAGGCAGTTCATGGGAGCAAATTGGATGAACAAATTTTGAAAATCCAAATTAAATTTCAGAGTTCAGAGTTTTGTGTGCATTTGGTCTTTTTTCTATTCATTTTGTTTTACTGAAATGATTTTCAGAACTGCGCACTGCAGGAGAACCTTGTTTACTGTGAGAAGAGAAGAGAAGAAAGAAAGAAGCTGCCGTGGCTTTGTTCATTCAGTGCAGGTCGCCATTGATTGACAGCACACGCCTGACACTCACTAAGCTCATAAAGCCCCATGTTTACTTAAATGGACTTGCGTATGTGTGTTCTTGTCTTCACAAGTTGTGAGCCTGTTCAGTCGAGGCGAAACTAAACTTACAAACAAAGGCAGGTGATTTAAGTTTGCTTTACGCAAGACTGATCAATGTCAGTCTCATGAGTGTTTTCCAAACAAAAGTGGTGAGTCCAACATGTACCTCCCTGATCTGTGTGTGTGTGTGTGTGTGTGTGTGTGTGTGTGTGGACGCATGTAAATATGTGCAGTTCTGTGCATGTGTTCGAGTGGGAATAATTTACCTTTCGGATATTAATCCAGTAGCCTATGATACGGTCTGTGGCTTCAGGATCTCTCTGTGTCCACTGCAGATTGTAGGAATAGTTGTTACCTTTCAGAATCCGGACTGGGTTGGGTGTGTCAAAGTAAAACTCAGCATTGTAGGGTTGTGCTGTGGTATAGGGGGAGGAGAGAGAGAGAGAACAAAATATCACTGATAAATAACAGTGAAGAAGATAACTGTCTCGTCTTGAATATGTTTATAATCTACAGATAGATAGATAGACTAAATTGTCTAAATTTCACTCACCAGAGACATTAAATGTGCATGTTGATGTTCCTGCAGTATTGCTGACTCGGCACTCATAAGAGCCGTTGTTGGTAGGTTCCAGCTTGAACTTCAGCTCTGGCGTCTCCTTAAGGTCCGGCATCGGCATTCGAATGAAATCACCGTTACGGAACCAGCGGATGTCTGTCAGACGTGCCGGGTTGGACCGTAGGACCGTACACCGCAGGGTCACCATCTGATAGTTCCTGGAACGCATGTCCTGGAAGACTGGGTCCAATATGGGAGGATCTGTGGGGAACAACAGAACTCAAGATATTAGACACACTTTGTTTGAGATTAAGCATAGCGAACAGGTGAATCCATGTAAAACCCCCATCATCCATAAATCCATTTTGAAATCTATTTCCATGACAAAGGAAAAGATGGAGATAAACTAAAGCAGATAAGTCTGAGAGGGAGTTTTGAGCTCAGAGATGTGGACAATGGAAATGGAGTGTAGTGATGTATGTTCATCACCATCATCCACGTCTCATCTCGTCTGCCTCGTCATCTCTTTTCTTCTCTGCGGCGTAAATTCCTTCGCATCATTAGAAAACATTGGTTTTTGACAAATCCAGACAGACACAGAGCAAGTGTTATTGCCACGAGGGATCAGGCATTTCAACGAGGAAGAAACCCATTCCCTGCCGCTAACCCATCCTAACCAGCTGTAATTAACCTGTCAGCAGCCGTGTGTGTCTCTGAGGTTAATGACTGACTAGCTGCTGTTGCCCTGGGGTCAGCCAAGACGCAACACAGCCAAATTACTCTGCCACAAATCACCAGCCAGCTATAGTTCACCCCTGGCTAATCATGTAGATAATAGACAAGATGCTAATGGTGGTATTGCTGTACTAACGGTGATGAGATCTGGTGTTAAAGCCCCCAGAGGTGAGGCAGCACGACTCAAGTCCCTTATGAATCAAGTATATCAGACACAGATGTGTAATTATATTCTAATCTATGTTATGCCTGTAATTCAGACAGATAGGGACACAGACTGGCTACAGTGAGGAGGAGAGAAAGAAACAGAGACACAAAGATAACATGAGCAGGGCAGAATACTGAAACAGAGATGCTCTTACTGTGCTTGATACAATGTGGAAATCTCTGGGCAGAATTAACCATCCCAGGGGAGAAGAAACTAATAGCAATAACAGGAATTTTCGGAAAGAAATATGAATAACAAATCATTATGATGCTCCAGCACCTGATAGTAGAGGAAATCATAGCCAGTGAACATAGACTACCCCTGTGTTGATATCTTTAAACATTTTGTTTGACATTGATGGTCATCATTGTTTTTTTAATCAAAGTATTTAATTTAATGTTTTCTTTTTTTATATATGTTTTATTTTGATATTTGTATAGTAGTCTTATTATCAGTTTGGTAGTTTTGCACTTACCCAAAGAACAGTGCTATACAAAATAAAGTTTGACTGGTTGTTACTCATTCTTTATGTCTTTTTCTAATGGGAAGTAGGCCACTGTCATTTTAATTTTTAGGAGTCAACCACAACAGTATATGGCATTAACATTTCAGATAGTCAAAGTTAATAAAATCCCCAACAACTGTAAACCATAACATACTGCAGTTAATACTGTCAAGCGAAGCTTCTTTTGAAATCTGAAGCTCTTGCAAAAATCAATCTATCCTCTCTGCGAATCAAGCTTTTAATCGTTGTTTTTTGCTACGGGCGCGGGTATACACAGCCAAACCGATCCTTTGTTTGGAATCACAGTTTACCATTCTGTGCTTGTACTCCAGTCAGGGGAACATGAGTAGGCACCTGCATGCTAAAGAGATTGGAAACAACCATAACATTTAACTTCTAAGCTTCTACGTTCTGTGTTTGTTTTAGTCAAAATTCTCAGCATACGGATGCAACATCCAAACTTTTTCCTACTTTCTTGCTCCACTGATATGCAAAACTGATATTTCCTGCTGCCAGTCATTATTATGCCTTTGACCTCTTGGAACCACTGTGTAGGTACTTCCTGCAGCCACAGCAGCACCATGTGATAAAGTTGAGCGATGGGTAAGCAGTCAAAGGTCACACTGTAATCATATGGACTGATTAGTGTATGGTCACAAACCCTGCTCGTGCTTATAGACACACATGTGCATACCGATGGCTATCTGACTTTGGAAACAGGTGGCAAGGGTAAAGAAAAACAGACAAACTGTGGAGCAGCGGTGATAGCAGTAGGGGATGAGGGAGGGTAGAGAGGAGGTGTGTTGTGAGCTGGTTTGTGAGCAGTTTATAAATCATCCAATCCCCAGCAGAATTTGGTGGACAAGTTATTACATTCCTTTACCCGACCATAAGTATTCACTTTGACAATTATGTAAGTTTCTCAGCAGTAGGTTTCAACTTTTTCAAGTCATTGGGTTGCTTCAATTTCTCACTCAACTTTTCAAATCTCTGGAGCATTGTTTTTGCATTTATTTGCTCCTTATTCGGGACAAACAGCAACACGCTGCAATGTTTCATAGTCAGGAGACCATAATCCATGTAAACACGCCATTGCTATCTGTCTTATTGAATGCAAAATGGATTCCATCCGGGAATGCAACACTGACCAAGCCAAACATTTACAGTACACAAAGGCAAAATCAATTTACATGAGAAGAAGGGTGGGTGTGTGTGTGTGTGTGTGTGTACGTGTGCATGTGTGTGTGTGTACGTGTGCATGTGTGTGTGTGCATGTGTGTGTGTGTAAGGTGGGATAAAGGGAGAGAGAAAGTGCTCTTAAAGAAGCAGACAATGAGGAAGACGAATGATGGGGGAAGTGTGGTGTGAAAGTGAGAGAAGTCGATGATTGAGTATGGGAGGTGGGGAGGGAATGAGAGAATGCAGGATGCAGAAAGGGAATGACAAGACAGAGAGAGGTCCTCTCTCATGGCCAGCAGTTAGCTGATTGATGATGATGAGAATGGCAATGAGGAAGAACAGCCACCTCTCTGGGAGGGAAAGTGGGCAAGTAAAGAAAAGGATACAAGGCGAAAAGAGGAAGCAGGGGAGGCAAGAATGGCAGAAATCTGCGTATCCACTTAATTATAGCTGCCATAAAAAATGATGGCATCCTTCCCTCACATCGATCAGTGGTGCTAAATGGAAGGCGGCAAAACAAACCCGATAAAATAAACAAATGGAGTAAAATGGGGCATAAAGAATGGCAGTGAGAGGAGAGAAGAGGAATGATCTGTTTTCCCACACTTTTGTTGGCTGTAAATACACAGAAATCTCTCGTACTTCATGGTGTTTCTCTATCTACCAACCTGTTTCTCTTTTTCCCCAGTCACACACAAGTTCTTTCATACCATCCTCACCATACCCTGTTTCTCTCTCTCTCTCTCTCTCTCTCTCTCTCTCTCACTCTCTCAGTCCTGCTCATGTATCTGTCTCGTCTCACTGTTTCTTTCTCTGTCCAGAGTGGGGTGGCCACCTGGGCCATTAATCAGAGTTGGCCAGTGTGGACAGCAGAGCTCACAGAGTGTTGCCCTTCCCACCCTGTCTGCATTAGCAAGCTTGGTAAATCTTTCTTTCTTGAGGAGAGGAGAGGAGAGGAGAGGAGAGGAGAGGATGCTGATTTGGGCCTGTATTTATCAACCATGTCAGAGTGAGAAATTGGTCCTAACTGGCCAAATATTCTCAGGGCAAATGCTTACTAGGTCCTGCTTTTAAGCACAGGAGGAAAATCACTTAATAAAAAACATTTAGTGACTTTAGTGATTCTGTCCAGGATATATACTCATAACTGCTCCATCCACAGAGATAAACAATTTGCTCACACTTTCGCTTGATCGGCATATAAATTATTATATGCTGCTACAACTGTGGTACCTCAAAACATGTACTGTTTGTATCCTTATGTTTTTCTTTTATCTTCTACATTTCATTGCTGTGATTAATAGCAGCCTTTTTAACTTGACCTTGTACACAGGGCACACTGGGAGTGTGTTGAAAGGGCTGAATTGGATTCCTGTTAAAATAAAATTACTGATTTGAATCAAACACTTACCAATGCAACGATACACTGCTGTGCAAGAGGGCATGCTTCAGCCTAAACAGTACATTAGTGACTCACCTAACAACATTTTAAGCTAATGGATGTTTGAGGTTTTGAGTAAACAGTGTGTTTATGACTACACTCACAACAGATCTGTTTCTCTTTTTGAGTGTTTTTAATGAATAAGTTATTAAAAACCATGGATACAAAGCTGACACACCTAAATTCAGTTCAGAACTGATCAAACCTCTTGGATGAGCGCCAAAGAAACTTCAATACCTGAATTTTGGTGTGGTGTGCTCAACAGTTCTGTGAAGATTATTTTATTATTTTTATTATTTTTGATTTTACCCAGTGGTTTTAACAACAGTGGCATGTAACTGCAAGCTGTTGTTACATTAGTTTTTTTATATTGATATGATGATTTGCTGATTTTGCCCCCCCGATGTGCTAACACAAATGGAGAGCATCCAGTTGGGGTAGAAATTTTAACGGATCCGTGAAGGTATTCTTGGGTGGAGGATGTATTTGTAACCTCCTGCTACCCATGCATATACAAGTGTCCTGAGCAAAAGAAATGGGATTTTGCTATAAAATGCAAGGCAAATTATTGGAAAGTTGTGAAGTTCTAAAGCCCAGCAACCACACAGCATGCACCTGCAGCTTTAGGTGAGAAGTGATTTTATCTGGTTTGATTAAATAAACGAGGAGGTTACAATGTGATTATCTAAGGTGATAGGGTCTCATGACATTTTCTCAGCTTGCTCAGTTTTATGGAACTACATGAAGGGAGCTGTGCAAGTAAGTCAGTAAAACTCTTGAAAGTGTGTGTTAACCAGACAGATCCTATCCATTTATCAAAATTCATCCTCAGGGAGTTTTACGATGACAGACAGACCCCACTGGAGTGCTCACAAAGGGGAAAGGGCAGGCTTTTAAGATATCAGCCTTTAAGCTGTAGAGGTGTGTCCTTGTTTCCTTAAAATCTCCTTTTTCACACTCTTTACATTACCATACATTACCGTAGCTGTCTTTACGGCTTAGTTTTGAGCAAAGTGTGAAGATTATGCCGTTACTGAGGGTGGGGAAAAAGAAAAGTGCAGTGATTTGATGGATCTCTGATATTACCGTAGCAACAAAGACAGACTTTGTATACACAAAGGTGCCATTAGAAAGAACTGTACTCAAAAGTGAAACTTGTTGTAAATTGTTGTATGCTGAATTCCCAGGTGGAAATAATCTGATTCACACTTACACTGCACATTGAGTTGGACCTGTGCCTCTCTGCGTTTGATGTTAAGCCCGTTGTACGGAGCAGTCTGGCACCGATACGTCCCCATCATGTCGCGGCTGACATTTCTTAGCCTCAAGCGGCCATCGGGCGTCTCCACCACAGTCTGCCCTGATGGCATCAGCAGGTCCTTCTCTGTCCGTGACCATAGTATAGGTGGACGTGGTTTGCCATCCACTACTAAGCACACCAGCTCAGCGTTACCTCTCTCTCGCACAATGACCATCTGACCTCCTGACGGGACCGACAGCACCGGAGGAGAGACTGGAAGAAAAAGAAGGGAAGGGAAGAGAAAAAGGTAAACGAATAGTAAGAAAAGCTTTTATCTCTTACTTCTACATAAGTTAAAAGAAACAGGAATAATGTATTTGAAAAGTATGAATTTTCTTGCAATGACACAAACTGCTGCAGCAGTATAAATAAATATATAAATATAATATAATTTCAGAATTATACTATTAAAATATAAATACTTATGTATATAAGCTAAAAGAAAACCCTTTCTGAGGAAAAGTGGTTTCACTATCACTGTTCTAAATGGTGTCGGTAGATGAATCTATGATTAAGTGCACAAGAAAAAGTACAATGGAATGGAAAAGAATATGTTCTTATATAACAAGTCGGGAGGTGGACATGAGTTTGAAATTACAGATGGTGCGAGCAGAGAAATTGTATAACGGAGCCAGATGGAGAATAAAAATATATGAAAGAAAAATGACATTTACAAGGCTCCTTTCATTGGACGATCACACATTCTCAATGCAACGAGGAGACATTAAAAAAGATTACTGCTCAGTATTAAGAACTAACATTACGCCACAGTGATTCTCAAATTCTCTGCGTAACAAGGGGACAAGGTGTGTACAGAACAGAAAGGGGAAAAGGCAAAGTATTGTATTAAGGTTCTCATTTTTTGTTCAAAGGTCAAACTACCATTTGGGTGTAGGAAAAAAAACAACAAATATTCAAACTGTAATAATGTAATCAGATTCAAAGATTTACAGTGTACAATCACAACAGGCTGCGCCTTGTACACGAGTGGTAGTTATTCCTAAAATGTACTGTCCATCTAACCTTTGTACAGTGGCTGGGAGAGGAACAAGCATGTCCTGGTCGGGTTCATCACTTTTTTGTGTCCCCTAAAAAAGCTCCCATTGTCATCTGTGCTACTTGCAGCGCATTTGTCTATTTGGTTGTGTTGTGAGTATTCATCAAATTAATAGATGTCTTCTTCTCTGCTAGTACTTCGTCTATTTGCATTCGTTTTTTCTTAAGCTGCAGTGCGTCAAGGTCCACCGTACCTTTGCATGGCCCGTTGCACATTAAACAAAGCTGCTGTTGTTGTCTTTACTAACAGAGAATGGGGAGAACGTTCAAGTCAGGCTGAACAGTCAATCATGAAACCAAACAAATAGTTACAGTAAATACATGCACTCATTTACAGCCCACTGGATTATTGTATGTAGTATTGAAAAATTTATCAACCAGAGAATTTAGTTTTTTATTTTGACAGCGTAAATTAGTTGTTTCACTACAGCTTCATGGAAATTTGCCTCAGTCTGACAGGGTTAGATAATAAATAAATCATTTAAATCCCACCACTGTTCTGAGAGATGTTGACATCCACACGGAGCTCCGGGACCCTGCTGCCTGGGAAGTTTGCCACACAGCTGTAGGTAGCCAAGTCTCTGAACTTCATGTCCACGATCTCCAAGCTGCTGGTGCCGGGTGCCATGTCGGGGTCGCTGCGCAGCAGGATCAGGCTATCCGAGTTGAAGACAGGTGCACCGTTCTTGTACCAGGTGTAGTTGACCTTGTCCTGTGGGGTGGCGTCGACGTGGCACGACAGCTTGAGGTCCCGACCCATTTGGATGGTCTCGCTGTCCTTGTTGGAGTCTGGTGTAATTTGGAAGGTCAGGTTGCCCATCGCTGTGTGTGGTGGTAGAGGGATGAAGAAGAAGAGAGGGGAAAGGGTTAAATATATGATGCAGTGTTGGAGACTGGTTGTGGTGAAGTCTTAAAAAACAATGTTTGGAGGAGGAATGTTACCAGCAAAACATTATCATTTAGAAATGACTGGGAAATGATAAAAAAAATAATGGAAGAAGTGATAAAGAATAACATCATTTTGTTTGGATATTTTCTACTTTGAACAGTTTTACGGTAATGGCATTAAACCCAGAAAGTCCTCACTGAAGTGCTGGAGCAGTGATTACTGTAAATTGTTGATTTGATTGAATTATGATGTTTGAGTGCCAACAATGACAATGTGTGTCCCTTTTCCCAGCTGTAGACGATTGTATGTGTTTATCATTCTTTTTGACCTTTGTTTTATTTTAAAATTCAGTTTCGGCGTCACATATTTATGTATCTCACGCCAATAAAGGTTGTTTAGAGTTTGTCGAAAACAGGAATAAATACTCAAAGAAATTGAAAAGAACTTTTAGGACATTTTAGACATCAAAAATAAGGAACTGGTTGTGTAGTGTGCGAGTGAGGGAAGGTGAGAAAGTAAAAAAAACAGCAATTACAAGAAAACAGTGGATGGAGGAGGGGCGAGATGGCCAGACTGGTAGATGAGTGTGTGACATAGCGTGTGAGGCATGAGGAGGGGGCAGCATGACAAAAAGAAACCAAAGGAAAAGGAAATTGGAGAAGAAAGAGAGAGAGAAAGAGAGAGGAAGAAGCAAATTGTGAAGGAGGGAGAGACAAAAGGAGCCTGATACAGAATAAAATAACAGGGGGATAAGGAGGAGGGGGGGAACAAAATCAAGGACAAAGAGTAACTCTCACACTGTCACATTTAATTTTCAGTTTCAAAGGCTGCGTTTCCCCAACAGATTTCCATGTTGAATACAAAACAGCTCTCTGTTTCCCCACCAAGGGGAGAGACAGGCTGCGAGGAGGAGAGGAGGGCTTGATTTAAACTTCTTTTGAGCTTGTTAACAAGATGCTTGGGTGGAGCCATGGATATGAGGCAGTGACCATATGGTTAACACAATCCTGCAACTTTACCTGCTTAGCGTGGAGAGGATGCTGTGTGCACCTTAATGTGAATGTGCGATCTGTCTATCTGACAACTTCTGTCCCCATGCACTCACTGAACACGCATGTGTGTGTGTGTGTGTGTGGGTGTGCCCGTCTCAGTCAATGTCTTGCCACCTGTGCTGGTGTGACGATGCGTTCAGGCCCATTAAGCTAACAGGAGAAACCCATCCAGCATACGTTCTCTACTGTGTTAACTAACAGAAGAGACTGTCGCTAATTGCTTCCACTCCAGTCTAACTAATTGGAGTGAATAAAGATGATTAAAGGGCCTAAAAATAGCCGGAGGGGAGGGAGAGTGGAAGGCTTCTGTTTTAACGGCAGGGGAATTAGAAAAAGAGCGATACTTAACCCGCCTATTCTGACAAGATTCACATCAGCTCTCTCTAATGATGGATCAACTGCTCGCGTGTCACACACCACACAGACACATATTATACTCTCTCTCTCTCACTCACACACACACACACACACACACACACACACACACACACACACACACACACACACGAATATATTCGCACACATTCACATGCATAGTCTTATTGAAGCTAAGAACGGACATTTTAAGTAGGGAAACTTCAAGTGTGTGGTTGAAATAGGCATGCACTGGAGTGATGCAAAGGAAAAATACTAAATGTTTAATCAAATATATTCAAGAATACTGAGGTATTTATCATGTGTGTGCATGCTCGCGCGCGCGTGTGTACTTGCTCTGTCAAAAATAATGAAAAACAATCCGAATCTGCTTTTATAAGCTGTCTATTGTTCCGTCAATTACTAAAATGAAAGAACGGTCACAACATAAATAAATCTAAAATTGCACACATTATTACTTCTAGTTTCAGAGATGCTAAATAAGGAATCTAAGTTATGTTATTATGGACCAAGCATTTTTAATCCAAACCAAGCGGGGGGGGGGGGGGGCTACTTGCTATCCACCACAAGGGTTCACCAGTAAATCTCCCACCTCTTGCCCTTCTCTCCCTTGGGAACAAACACACACATGCGTTACTCACTCCTGACAACCAGATTGACGTTCTTGCGCGCAGGGTTGCCCACATTGTTGACAGCCGAGCAGTTGTAGAAGCCCGCGTCGGCCGGCGTGACCGCCCGCAAAATCAGTGTTGGCCCTCGAACTTGGGCGCTGAGGGGAAGCGGGCCGGGGTAACGCGACCACGTCACAGTGGGGAGGGGGAAACCTGCAGTAACCTCGCAGGTTAAGAGCACATCCTGCCCGGGATCCACCACCACCGTGTCGTTGACAGACAGCCGGATCATTGGGGGAGCTGGGGGGGGGGCAGACACAGGGGAGGAAGAGAGAACAGAGGATTACAAGTGCAAATCAATTTTTCTGTCGTTACACAGAACAGAACCAAGTTGTTTTTCTTGTGCCTTGCAAGTGTTGTACAGCAGTGGTAGTTACAGATGTTGAAACGTACAGATGTTGAAGTCTGACAGTAATAATGTTAACTGTCTGTGCACCTGTCACATCTAGATGCTAATAAAGGCTTCCCAGTGAGGTTGCAGGATGGTTACAGGATTTTGCATGCAAGTGATGACATTATTTAAAAGTGAGAATGGGAGTGTTGTAGTGTTATGTTAATGTGTATGTGTGTGTGTGTGTGTGTGTGTGTGTGTGTGCATATAAAAGTGTGTGGCATCGACACATTGTCTTACTCTGGAAGGAATTTTCCCACTATGAGGGTCAAATTTTATTACTGGTTTGACATCCTGGTCTTTAAACACCACAGCTACTGATACTGGTAAATGTAAATGTATTTACTTGGTGTCCAACACAATCCTTGTTTTGGCCAAAGTAAAGGTCGGTGGGGGTTAAAATATATATTTACATAAATTGGTATAAATGCATTATGAACATGATGAACTCCCATACACTCAGAACCACTTATGGATATTCAGTGGAAGGAAGTTCCAGATGTCTATAGAGGATCGCCGCTTCACTGTGTAAATCCCAAGACACACAGGCAAGCCTCGACCTCCAATCAAATCAGCACACAGTAGCCGTTTGTTCTGAATGCAAATATGATGTAGTGTGTAAACATGAGTGTATTTGTTTCTCACTGTGTGTTAGTGCTTGTGAGCCGTTGTGCATTCATGCAAGGCTGTTTGAATTTCCAGTCTTTTCTCAGCACACAGCAATCAGTAAACCAAAGGTAATTCATGTCCCGGTTCCCCTGATCTCATATCGCCCGTATCTTCCCCAAGCCACTGCGTCCATTTCCTATGACTGACCTAACAGGAAAAGTACAAGATGACCCAAAATGCAACTGCAGAGGCAAAAAAAATAAAAAAAAATAACAAATCCTGTTGCCAGACAGAGATCGATTGAAACCCAGCAGTTTCAAAATACAAAAAAAAAAAAAAAAAAAAAAGAGCAGAGGGAGCGAGAGGCACACTGACGGGGGAAGAAGAGAATAAAATACAGGGCTAAAGCAGGAGAGGGGGAAAGGGCAAAATGAAAAAGAGGATATTAATCATCTAAGAGGATGTTTGGAGAGAGGGGGGAAAGAAACGCATCCACAGTGACATTGGACTGATAACTACATGGGCTCAACTTGGGCTTATACAGTGTGTATGTAGGTAGGCAATTGTTTTGCTAACATGTTATCCCAAACAGGGATCTGCGTGTCAAGTGTCAGTTCTGCTCCTTAGAGGCCAAGAATCAAAAAATGTAGCAACTTCTGTTTTATAAAAAAAAGACAAAACTAAAAATACATCCATCTTTTACCTAACCTGCTATAGGAGAGAAAAAACTTGTACCGGCAGGTGGCCAGTAGTAGTTTAGTAGACTAAATGGTAGTTTCATGGCTATAATAATTCCTGTGTGTGCTGTTAAGAGCGTATTTGTAAAACAAGGCTCCCTGTGTGGTCACTACTATACTGTTTCATATGGAGCATCGAACAGGGCTTCCCTGCAATCTAATGATGGTAAAATATGTGTTCCACATGGATATACTGTCTGAGTCAACATAAATCTGAGCACTTTTTAAAGTACTCAAAAAGCTCCCGATCACATAGGTGGCACTACCTGCAACATCTTGTAATAGGTTTTTCCATATCTTGCCAGAGGGCGTAAATGGGGTGATGGGAAGGTAACGTTGAGAGAAATGAGTTTGTGACCAAAATGTCACCTATTTAAATCCCATGAGTGGCTACAAAAATCTTGTTGGTGGAGTAAAATAGAAAGGTCCCCCCCCCTCCCTCATCAACTACAGCAAAAAACACCCTGGGGCAAAGCAGTCAAGCCCCAGTTTCTCTACTGGAGCTGCTTCACTGGCTATGAATTACTAACCTGTGGTTGTACTGCTGAGCTCAATGTGCAAATCTGTGTATGTATATGTGTGACTCTACCGCTCTTAGTAACTATTTGGCTAAGTTAGAAGAGTAAAAAGAGAGAAAATAACAAGGTCATTCTATTGTCTTTTAAATGTTCCAGTCAACCTGAATCTCCGGAATATGTATGTATTCTTTATTAAGATGCCATGTCACATAGGATGGTAATTTTCTTTTGTTTGTTTTTCTATAGCAGCCCTGTAAGGGCGTTTTGTTATTATATTCTATATTGTCGAGCAGATGGAAGCATAATGACATATTACAAGAAAGTGTTTCCAGGGTCATTTAGAGATAAAATAAAAAACAAACAATAAACTTACAGTTTCCTCCCAGTTATTCTGTAAATGAATTCATTTGCTTCATATATGCTCCTCGTTTGGAGAATTTATCTCCTCTAGGCACAAAAACTAAAGAACACACAACACACACAACACACGCGCGCACACACACACACACACACACACACACACACACACACACACACACACACACACACACACACACACACACACACACACACACACACAATAAAGCAGTGGTAAACACCTATTTTATTTGCCAATGTGAATTTATTCCAATTCAGCGGATGAAGAAAGATGAAAGAGGCTTACACTCTCTAATAGGTTTAGATGCTTGTAAAAAATAAACAAATCCAACCTCAGAGTCTGAACCGGATGAACCTACAATAACCTGACTAAAGAATTACCTGCAGCAGTATGTGTCATCTGTCATCTGGGCCAGTCACCTCTTTCTACCATTAGCAACACTTGCATGGTGCTTAGGAAAATAAAATAGGGTCTTGGCAATACTGTACACTTCCATGCCATCTCTTATATTTTTACCACTCAGAAGTGGTCGAAAGAGAAAGTATTCCATTGTAGAGAAGTCAGCCCTTTTCATAGTTGACTCTAGAGGTGGAACTAACTGGGCCTGTGATACAATATGAATTTTTGTATGGCTTTTTTTTTCTTTAATAACAACAGTAACAAATTGAGTGTCCTGACAGATTCTAAGTGTTGGATCTTGTGTGACCCAGTCAGCAGATAGGGAGGCAGTTGTAAGGTCAGTTACTTCCTTCCTTTCTGAATCCAACTACATTCTTTTTATTGTTATTAGGGATCAATGTATAATTGATTGTTTACCATGGGACATACTGTGTTGCTGAACAATTCAAGAAACATATTTAAGGTTTTAAATATTTATATTTGAGCATTTTGATGGAGCATACTCCAATGTTTTTATTTTTTATTTTTAATGGGCTCTAGAGGACAAGATTGGAGGAGAATCCAGGATTTTATCAACCTGAGAGAGAGTTAAATCTTCAGCGAGAGACTGACCCCACCGAGTACAGGAAGTAATTCATTCCTCTAATAGACTTTACGCAGTACATCCTCTCATCTAATCTCTTTTTTAACAGATTGCAATCGCTGTAATGAAAGAGGTGCACAGAGGTTCGGCAAACCAGTTTACCGATGCATGTTTCTGCTAATACAAGAATGCGCACAAAGCTGTGCACACACACACACACAGGCTTGCGCTCTCTAAAAAGGATGACAAAAATGTTCATGCGAAGACACACACATACACACACACACACACACTAATGGGATCTCTCTTTAGCTAATCTCAGTAGTGATGGCTCTCAAACTGACAAGAAATTTCACTGGTGTAACAACTGTAATCAGCACATAAATAGCACTGTCCACTCCAATTGTATCACAGCACTAGGAAAGTAAAACCCTATAGGGCTGAAGAGCTTTCTAAGTATTAAATGACCCTCAATGGAAACCATTTTGCTTGGTAATTTGCCTGTTTGTTAAATACAGTAGAATAAAGTATCAGGGCGATTGGGGATATATTGTTACACAGCTCTATATGTTGTCATAACTGGTATTTTAACGCACGGTACATCAAAGAGACTCTACATGTTGCTCATGTGGCTTTCCTCTGAGTGCACTCATGTCATAAAGACTGGAGATTGGCCGCAGTAAATGTTAGCGTGTGTCTATTTGTTTTAGCCTGGCAATGGACCTGTTCAGGATCTGTCGCTGCCTCCTGTCTGATGTCACAAATGCTAAAGAAGACTCAATCCCCCCATGGCCCTAGAAGAATTAAGCCACGAAGCCCCCAAAGGCATTCACTATAATATGTTGTTTGACCACCTTACACATGAGCATACTGATGATTACACACAGAATGCAAAGATGTGAAGACAAGCAAAAGCCTTATGTCTGATAAGTGAGGATTCCAGTATATCTATAGATTACAACTGCTGATTACACTGATTGGTTTCTCCTTGGTGGATTTGAAGATTACTGAAATCTGGCATGTATTCTTGCTTGTAATAAAACTGAGTTATTCTTCTAACTAAAACATGTTTTTTTTTCCTTTGTCTTTTTTTTATTCCATTCTTGTGTCTTCTATAACATATCAGGTGAAGCACATTTGAAAAATAATGCAAGGATGGAGGATGAACTACGGCCACAGAAGTTTAGATAGCAGCAGAGGAAGAAATGACACTCGATCAATGAGAAAATTAACCGAAAACCCCATTGTGAGAAAGACCCGTCGTGCTTGAGAAGAATTACAACCTACAGTACAGAGCTGGTCAAACTCAGAGGGGATTGAACAGCTGTGTCCTAATTGAATGCATGCATGATGTCAAGCACACACAAGTTATTTAGACTGAAAAGAGGCACCTGTGGTCTTGGTGTCATAAAGATGTCTTTCTTTTCAAGGTCACACATGTGGACTCTTGGATCTGATTATCAGCTCTCCATCACATGAATGCCCACCACACACACATACTTCATCATTTTCTACAGAGCACTGAAAAGTAGTAATTTGCGCAACAAATAAATAAACAACCAAATAAATGAAATGTGTAATCCCAAGAACAGAAGAGGGCACCACAGAGAGAAAGGGAAGACGG